TGCCAAATCCGTATAGAGACAGATGGGATCGAGCTGTGAAACAGAAAAAAAAAAAAAAAAAAAGAAAGGGGGCTGGAGGAAGAGGACGGTGGCGTTCAGTTGTTGACTGTCATTGTTTGGTCGATGGTGTTTGGCTGTGCATCAAATCTGAAGAACATCATCTCTTGGAGTTGAAGGCAAATTAATCTCCTTGATTTAATTAATTTTGTTAATTATTAATTTTATGTATAAATTATTTATTTATTTATTGGAATTTAGAAGTTCCTCTTTCTTGGCAATGGAGGATGGCATTTTTTGTGTTTATGTTACCAAAACTAGAAAGTTACTTTCCATTTTAAAAAGAAATATTTAATTAAATAATGTATTTTTTTTTATGTTTTTTTAGGAATTTGGAATTATAAGTTAATATTCCAACTTAAATATGATTTAATTAATTAAATTTTAGATTTAGAAAAATTAATATTTGTATAAAATGATTTATTTTTTTTATTTTCAAGTTAATTTTACTTCCGTCCATTACTTTATTATTATACCTGGAAAGGTGAATTAAGGGCAACCTTACCAATTTTTCGAAACCCGAGGAAGATCTCTCGAGTTGATTTTGATATGAGATTAGGAAGAAAATAAAGAAGAGGAATTAGATCCCGATGAGTAACAACCTCTAAATAATCACTCTTCTTTTAGTTAACGCCCGACACAAACAAAAAGGAAAACCAAGAAAATAGACGTAACGATGAAAATTACTTAGGTTAGGCGTTCGAGTTCGAAACTATAATTTATGTCTTTGTTCCCTCGACATAGCCATTTTATCTATTTTCATCACTAACATGACTTTCTCAAATGATTAAGAGAGAGAAAGAGAGCTTTGGAATGGAAGAAAGCTGACAAAAAGATATATATATATACATAAAAGATATATATTACCAATCAACAAACTTCTACACATGATGAAATTCACGAATATAATCCACGGCAGTCTTGTCTCAAAAATCGGATGCCACAGGAGTGTTCGATCGAGCATAGGCCTGCCCGAATTGTTCGAGTTTTGAATCAGCAGAACCTCAAAGTAGCTTCTAGCTCGGCCTCGTCGGCACAATTGTACCCCAGCAAGTAAGCTCGAGCTGTCGTATATTAAGATAAGTTAAAAACGTGCGTTCTTCGACAACATGAACATAGTTCAATTGTTCTACTGAAAAAAGAAAAAACATGTGTTTACTAAAATATAAACAACGGATAGATCGTGATTTTATACCAAAACGACCCGAACCCATGAATGGTTCCCTCTCAGCCTCGTCGGTTACACCAGCTTGTTGCAGTTCCTACAAGTTCGACATATATTAAATGAGGTGAACAAAAATCTATCATGACATAAAAATGCAGGAAGGGGTCGGATAAGAACCTTTATACAATATACAATATATTTTATTCATGCTCGTCTCAAGTTTGAAGTACCATTTGTAGAAATAAGAGCTCCATTTATTACATAATTTGTGAAATCCCACGTCGGTTGGAGAGTGGAACAAAACTTCTTTATAAGGGTGTAAAAACCTCTTCCTAGTTGACGCGTTATAAAACCGTGAAGCTAACGGCTACACATAACAGACCAAAATGGACAAATATCTACTAGCGGTGAGCTTGGACAATTATAAATGGTATCAGAGCCAGACATCGATCGATGTGCCAGCGAGGACGCTCGGCCCAAAGGGGTGGATTGTAATATCCCACATCAGTTGGAGAGGGAACAAAACTTCTTTATAAGAGTGTGGAAACCTCTCCATAGTTAACGCGTTTTAAAACTGTGAAGCTGACGACGACACATAACGGGCCAAAGCGGACAATATCTACTAGCGATGAGTTTGAGTGGTTATAAATGGTATCAAACCCAGTCACCATATGGTATGGGGCATTGGTCGGAGTAGGGCTAGATCCTCTCAATAGTAGACGCGTTTTAAAACCGTGAGGTTGACGACGATATGTAACAGGCAAAAACAGTATTAGTATTAAAAGAGCCCATTTATAGTCTCGCTCTATTTTCAGTAGAGAGCCGGGAGCCCTCGGATATGAAGTTAAGAGTGTTAGATAGCAGAAGGAAGAGCAGACAAGTCAAGGTTGGTAACAAATGAAGGAAGGTTGTACTCACAGTATCCGGTTCCATAGAGTCTGGAAAAAGTAACGTATCAAAGCAGTGTCCAGATATTCTGCAAACAAGTTGTTCATCGTTCGGATCCATAACGACTTCTCGGCAAGTGTCATCACATACTAGGGGAAAAAAACGTGCGACTCATCAATTACACAGGTACTAAAGTCACAGGGCAATCTACAACAAAAAAATGGATATAAAAGATAGAAGAATATCTTACCATGAACAAGTCCAGTCTTTTCACATACAAATGCATCACCAACTTGGTAATATGTACATGTTTCTCCAGAACAAGTATGATCTATGACTATCTTGTCAGTCAACCCCCTGCTGCTTTTCCATGTAGATACTTGATCGGCCACAGTCCTATCGAGAATTATTTGGTCGTCCTGCACCTGCGAATGCTCAATAGTTTTTTCCGTTAGTTACCAGAAACATAGAATTAGTAGAGACTCAGGAGGGAGATAGCCTAGGACAAAACCAGAAAACAAAACTATATGTTGGGTTCCAAGAAAACCTTGCATGAACAAATCATTCAACCCTATCTCTAAACACGAGAATATAGAAACCGAAACTATATGGGCGATTCTTTTGCAGCGTTAAAAGCTTGTGAGAAAATCAGACACCTGAGAAGGAAGAGGAGCTTGACTTCTTTTTGCTGCTTGCATTTGGATGTAGTACTCTTTAAACTCGGAAGAACAATCTCGAACCAGTTGAGTCATATCCTCTTCATCACGCTGAGGTGATAGCAAAAATGGGTGATGAGTGTTCATCACTAAGATGGGTATAGAACCAACTAACAAAACAGTCAGAGCCCTAAACAAAAAATGAATATACAACCGCAGGCAGGAACCAATAGAATGATGTATAAAGCTCTTAAATCTTACCAGATTTTGTTGTGTGTTAGATTTCATATAATTTTGAGTAAATCATTCATTTAAACTTATCATATCATAATTTTCTTTCAACAGATACAAAATTTCTCCGCCTCCGCCGATTCCCTATAGTCGGGCTTCTTGATCTAAGAACTACAATGCCCATTCCACCTAAAATTCTAGGAATTTGTTGATATTAGAATAGAGTCTACTGATCCGTTTTAAATTTAAAATCATTTCATATGATCCTTTCCTATTTCTTCTATGTCGTAGGGTTAAAACCCAAAAACCCTTGTTGTTTTCCCTATGTTTCCTTATGTTTTCAATAGAACCTTCTCGTAAAAGTATTTTAACAATGTCTTCGGTGGTGCTAATTTTATTTTCTTTCAATGGAGCTAGTTTAGAAGCCTATATTAGTGAAGTAGTGAAGTTCTTATTTTGTTTTCCTAACAAAAAGAATGTAATTGCTCTCATTTCTTCAAATCTTTTCCGTTTCAAACAGGATAATGAATTTAGAACCATTTCTTCTATTTCAAATAACAGGATTTAGGATCATTTCTTAACAAAGGGTGAAAGAAGAACCTGAATATATAGTTTTTTCCAAGGACATTGGCGCAATTTCTTGGTCTTGGGAACCAGACCCCAACGCAGACAATATCTGTACACGAATTGCAGGCTTAAGTGTTCGTAGAAAATGGGAAACCAATTAACTTTTCGCCATAGAGTAGTGTACAGATCAAACACAGAAAGATAGAGAAATATCAAAAGCAATTACTTACAATCTTCGCCATAATGATTCATCAGACGCCACAGAATTTAAAAATCGACAAACCAGTGAACAAGAAATCAGATCCTGCATCAAAACAAACAGTTAAGTGAGAACAAAAATGGGGAGGATCATACGAAGTAGGAAGAATACAACTCCTCTTCACAATACCTCTGATGAGAGAAACTTGAGGATATGGCGGAAGAGCTCCGAAGGAATTTGACTGAAAATTCCGGTATCAATTCTCCCGGGAACGACGCCACTGAATTGAGAGGACGAAGTAGTAACGGAAGCTACCTCTCTTTGTTCGTTAGGGTTAATCTGTTCGATTCGAGCTCTCTTAGGTTGTGGTTCCTCCTGTGCGTTCCCCTCTTCCTACAAATATCCGCACTCAAATTCATCACCATCCGACGTAGTTCACCCAAAATCGGCATGAACATGATAAGATTTGAAGAAACAAACGAACATGTTTGAACGATACGCCTTAATTCTCCTAAATACCAACCGCTCCAACTCCACAAAGAATATCGGAGAAATAGAGAGAGGAAAGAGGTAGAAACCTTATCAGAGACCTCCGAGAGAACCTCTGTTTCAAGAAACTGTGCCAACAACTCGTCTTCTTCATCTGAAATGGCCATTTCACATTAAGCGATGGGAAATTCAAACTCCTGCAACGATCGGACTGTGAATAGACCGATGAATAACCTCTGTCGGCCGGTGACCGGAGCTGGCAGCCGGCAGTCCCGGCCTTTAGAATGACGTCCGACCCCCAATAACTCGCCCGAAATCACAGGAACCATGCTAGGTGAGGACTCACCACAACTGCACAACACAAGCATCCTGCGGCCAGACTCTTTTAATTGGGCCCATGGCCCAGACATTAGTTGGGCCGAATAGCCTTTAACTTAATGAGCTCAGCCCGCTTTATATATATATATATAAGTAAAAATATATTTTTTATAATTAATAATAAATTTGAGTTGATTCGATTCTTGTAAAATCACGACCAAATTTTATTTTTAAAAGTAGTTGCAACATAATATTAAAAAAACATAGAATTATATAAAATAATATATATATATAAGAGTAAAAATATATTTTTTATAATTAATAATAAATATGAGTTGATTCGATTCTATTTAATTTATAAATTTTTTATTTATTTTAATGAAATTAATTCAAATAAGTCCTTTATCTAAATCGGTTATTGAGTTAAGTCGAGAGTGTTCGGTCAAAGGTGGCAGCTCGTTAGTAAAATTCATCGATTTTCCGACGAACTGCTCGCTTTCTTTCTCTCGCCGGGATCGGAAAGGCGTGGATCAGCTGTCCCCGTCGTGGGCTTATTCAACGGCAACCTGTAAGGGATAAACAGAGGGAGTTGACTTTTTCTATATTTAGGCGAAATGGGTTGACCAATTTGTTGTCGGGGATTGAAGAGTTACAGAAATCGAAGATTTGAAAGCTCTGGAAAAAATGGTGTGGGGAAATGGGTGCCAAGATGGAGTCAACACAAGGCCTCTGTTCTTGGTGTTCTATGCGACCGTCGCTGCCGGAATCGTGTTCTCGTCGCTGTATGTTTTTTCGGCTGTTTACTCGTCTTCCAATTTTGTGTCTGGTTTCAGCTCCTCCTGGTTTTCGTCTAATTCTGGTGAATTTAACAGTACGTGTTCTTATTCTGTTCTTGTTACTCTTGATTTAGTGATGATTTTGTTCAGTTTTTGTTTGTGATCTGTTCGTTTGACCCTTGAATGCTTCATTTGTTCCTCATTGAATTATGGCATTGGCTGGTTGGTTGCATCTCATAGTGTATGAGCTGAAGTTTGGTTTTAGATTGGCCTTAGTGTAACAGCTCAAGCTCACCGCTAGCAGATATTGTCCTCTTTGAGTTTTCCTTTTTGGGATTTTGCTCAAGGTTTTTAAAATGCGTCGGTTAGGGAGAGGTTTCCACACCCTTGTAAAGAATGCTTCGTTCTCTTCCCCAACCGATGTGGGATCTCACAATCCACCCCCTTCGGGGTCTACTTGTTTTCTCTTCTCCAATCGATGTGAGACCCCCCCAATCTACCCCTTTGGAGCCCTACGTCTTTGTTGGCACACCGTCTCGTGTTCACCCCCCTTTGGAGCTTAGCCTCCTCACTGGCACATCGCCCGGTGTCTGGCTCTGATACCATTTGTAACGGTCCAAGCCCACCACTAGCAGATATTGTCCTTTCTGGTTTTCCCTTCTGGTCTTCTCCTTAAGGCTTTTAAAATATGTCTGTTAGGGAGAGGTTTCCACACCCTTATAAAAAATGCTTCGTTCTTTTCCCCAACCGATGGGGATCTCACAATCCACCCTCTTTCAAGGTCTAGCGTCCTCGCTCACATTCGTTCCCTTCTCTAATCAATGTGCGAAGCCCAGCGTCCTTGCTAACACACCGCCCAGCGTTTCGTGTCCCGCCTCGTGTCTGGCTCTAATACCATTTGTAACGGTCCAAGCCCACCGCTAGTAGATATTGTCCTCTTCAGGCCTTCCCTTTCAAACTTCCCCTCAAAGTTTTAAAAACGCGTCTGTTAGGGAAAGGTTTCCACACCCTTATAAAAAGGGATTCGTTCTCTTCCCCAACCGACGTGGGATCTCACAATCCACCCCCTTCGGGGTTCACTCGTTCCCTTCTCCAATCGATGTGGGACCCCTTCAATCCACCCCTTTCGTGGCTCAGCATCCTTACTGATACACTGCCTCGTGTCCACCTCCCTTCGGTGCTCAGCCTCCTCGCTAGCACATCACCCAGTGTCTGGCTTTGATACCATTTGTAACGGTCCAAGCCCACCACTAGCAACTATTGTCCTCTTTCGGTCTTCCCTTTCAGTCTTCTCCCCAAGGTTTTTAAAACGTGTCTGTTAGGAAGAGGTTTCCACACCCTTATAAAGAATGCTTCGGTCTCCTCCCCAACAAACGCGGGATCTCACACCAAACCTAGCTGTTGGCTATTCATAACAAAGCAGCAAACATGTTATAGGGTCTTAATGCAAGTTTATTTCTTGGCTGTTCATATCCTGTTCTTAATGTTCATCATAAACTAGCATTGTCTGCGTTAATTTGTGACTTATCCCTCTCTTTCTAGATTCCAATTCAACTCTCATCAAGGATCAAACACCAAATATATCACAACCAGATGTTCACAACAAAGGGGAAAGACCAATTTGGGAAGCTCCAAACACCAAAAACATGCCATCTCCCGAGACCTTTCGGCTAACCAAGGAGCTCGTTCAACGACACGTAAAAGATAACGTAATAATAGTTACATTCGGTAACTATGCATTTTTAGACTTCATTCTCAATTGGGTTAAGCATTTGACAGATCTTGATCTTTCTAATCTTCTTGTTGGTAAGCTACTGAATGTTTGTTGATATCATTTTTAGTCACTACCTGCTATACAACTACTTAGTTTTCCTTCATTTGGGTGATCATTTCAGGTGCAATGGACACCAAATTGTTGGAAGCTTTGTATTGGAAAGGTATTCCTGTTTTTGACATGGGAAGTCATATGAGCACGGTGGATGTTGGCTGGGGATCGTCGACGTTTCATAAGATGGGAAGAGAAAAAGTGATACTCATCGACTCGATTCTCCCTTATGGGTTTGAGTTGTTGATGTGTGATACCGACATGGTGTGGTTAAAGGTATGTTCGTTAAAACTTTTTGGATTTGTTTATGTAACAGCTCAAGCCTACTGCTAGTAGATATTGTCCTCTTTGGGCTTTCCCTTTCGGGATTTTGCTCAAGGTTTTTAAAATGCGTCTACTAAGGAGAGGTTTTCACACCCTTATAAAGAATGCTTCGTTCTCTTCTCCAACTGATGTGGGATCTCACAATCCATCCTCCTTCGGAGTCCACTCGTTCCCTTCTTCGATCGATGTGGGACCCCACACCCAATCCAACCCCCCTTCGGAGCCCAGCGTCCTTGTTGGCACACCGCCTCGTGTCCACCCCCCTTCAAGGCTCAGCCTCCTCGTTGGCACATTGCCCGGTGTCTAACCTTGATATCATTTGTAACGGCTCAAGTCTACCGCTAGCCGATATTGTCATCTTTGGAGTTTCCCTCAAGGTTTTTAAAACGCGTCTGCGAGGAAGAGGTTTCCACACCCTTATAAAGAATGTCTCGTTTCCCTCTCCAACCGATGTCAGATCTCTTATTAAAGGATGTTCTATTAGTATCATATTCTTTGGTATCGAACCATCTTATGTTGTTTTATTATTATTCAAATGCGGGTTCGGAGATCTTAGGGAAGGAGGGACATTTTCTTTAGACGTTCAAGAGTTCACTGAGCTATAAACGTTTTAAGCCCCATGACAGTCACAAGAAAAATTATCGAGAATCCTGTATTCTTCGGTTTATTCATCAAAATCTATCATTCGTTCGTTTCAGAATCCTTTTAATGCTACTAGTTGAAACATAGTAACCACATAAGTTGTTTTATGTGACAGAATCCGCTCCCATATCTCGCTCGTTACCCCGAAGCAGATGTCTTATCTTCAAGTGATCAGGTCATACCAACCGTGGTCGATGACAAGTTGGATATTTGGAACGAAGGTAAAGTATTAAATATTCTCAACTCTTCCATGAATATCAAGATTAAAGGTGTTAATGCTTTCGAAACAGTTTCGGGTGCCTTAAATATTGGAATTTTCCACTGGCGGCCTACACGAGCATCAAAAAAACTGGCTAAGGAGTGGAAGGAAATGCTCCTAGCTGATGACAAGATTTGGGACCAAAATGGTTTCAACGAACTCGTTCATAAGAAATATGGACCATCGGTCGATGAAGACGGTGGACTCGTATACGCTTATGATGGTAATCTCAAGCTAGGAATTTTACCTGCAAGTATTTTCTGTAGTGGACACACCTTCTTTGTCCAGGTACTATTTTGTGTAGCGTGCTTAGATCTCGACGTCGTATTAATCATAATACGAGCCATGTAAACGTATCCCATTGATCGAACTACAATGGCAGGCAATGTATCAACAATTTAGATTGGAGCCGTATGCTGTTCATACTACATTCCAGTATGCGGGTACCGAAGGAAAGCGCCATAGACTGCGTGAGGCCATGGTTTTCGATGATCCTCCGGAGTACTTCGATGCACCAGGTAAATTTTGTATGAGATTGAAGAATTCAAGTCATGCTTTTGTGATTGTTCGTGTTTAATGCTTCGTTTTTTCGGGAATTCTGCAGGAGGTTACCTATCGTTTAAGCCATCGATTCCGAAGTCGCTATTACTTGAAGGAGAGCATGACCTTGATACACATTTTAGGCTTATGAACTACCAGGTTGTGTGTTCTAACAATAAAAACTAAGCTTTTTTCTCATATGATATCATAAAATGTTCCAGTTCTGAGTTTTTAGTTTTTTTTTTTTTTTTTTTTTTTTTTTTTTTTTTTTTTTTTTTTTTTTTTTTTTTTTTTTTT